CACAAAACCTACTTTTCATACTTGTCTGGGCACATGTATTGAATTCAGTAATATATTTAGGTTGGCTTAAGTTGAAAGGGGCCCATCATTTTTGTTATCAAAGTGCTAAACAGATTTGTCTGAACAATCAAGGATGTGTGTGTATGTAAGAATTATGCCCAAAGAGAGAAGACTGCCAGAACTGCATTGAACAGTTGTTACCCCTCTACTTGTGAAGAACACAATAGATCAGAGATGTCTACTGGCTGTGGTTGGACATGAAACACTGCATACAGCTGCGTACCTTTCAACATATTTTTCTGTTAAGCAGTAGTTTGCCTTCAGATGATAACTCCAGTCTTGGTGGCATTTTTTCCACCTTTGATTGTCTATAGTACATGCAGTCTTCACCCTAACTGACTGTAAATATTGCTGTATGCTTATTTTTCTCTTTTTATGCTCTCTTTCTCTTCTCAATCCAGTAAAGAAGTGAAAAAAACTTATTACTCAGTTTTTATTTGACACTAGACAGTTTAGCCAGAGAGCCTAACATGTGAAGGAGCTGCTGAGATTTACTTATCCTTGTCTTTTTCATACTTCTTCCTTTCTGTTTATTCTAATTCTTGCAGAAGTATTTAGAATCATTCTCCATGCAAAGTAATGTAGAGAATTGTTGATTGGTATCTTTTCATTAGAAGCAATTAAATAAAAGGTGTGGCCTACATTAAATAGTTTCATTAGTGTGAGTGGATCAGCAGTGACAGAAATCTGGCTGACTTAAATACACAACAGCCAAAAGCTCTTGTGTAAAATTAACTTGCCTAGCATATGAGAAACCTAGGAGCATGTTGTTTCTCTACCTGATTCTGAATGATTTAGGAGGAGGAACTTCTCTCTAAATGAAACAGATGTAGGATATGAACATAGTTCTCCCTCATCATAAGTTGTCTCTGCAAACCTAAGGACAATATGAACCCTGAGAAGGAAGTACACCTGACAAGCCTATTGCATTTCCCATTATGAACATTAATTTACAGGCAATGGAAAATCAGCATGGCTGTTCTAATGCAGTTATAGTTGATTCAGCTGAGAAAGGGACTACTTTTGGAAAGACTAGAAGGTAACTTCCTGAGGGGCCCAGGCATGTGTGGAAAGAGCACTGAATTTACACAAGTCCAAGGCTTCTTTTTCTTGTCACCTGTTTTTCAAATAGTTGGTGTTTTCTCCTCTGTGTGCGTTGGATTTCTTTTGATTTTTGACTATTATGTAGTTAGATGAACAATAAAGTGTTATTTTAACTGCCTCAGCAGTGATAATGCTTGTATCTTAGTGCCAGTGGTTGACATCTCATACCTATTGAAGTTCAACCCTGCGATCATTCTCGTGATCAGTACTCCAACTTATGGTTTAATACCTAAAATAAATCCATCTATAAACAATATCTGTTCCACAGGGGCTGTGTTTATCAGAAGGAATGTAAGCATTGCTCATTATTTCTGGTTTTATATAGGCTATGTGAAGAGTTTGTAGAAGAGTTTGCAAAGTCTCTAAGGAGGGACGAGGCTTAGGGGTGTGCTGTTACTTGCTAATTCTTTTTTCCTCCTTTACCTGTTGCATGAAATAAGAGTGGATTCCAACTCTGACCTGGGTCATGCTAGTGTGCATTAAAAACAAAATAATAGAACCGATAAGGAGGAGATTCCAAGCCATACTGTGGGGAGGAGAGAGTGACTTATTCTAATGAATATAGTTAATCATAATAATATAATATAGTTAATCATAATGAATGACAGGTAAGAAAAGTCCTGCAGGCAACTGAAAACTCCCAATAAGCCATCAGGGCTAGTAGACCTACTTCTGTCTCCTATCAGCAGATCAAGGCTGGGTTGAATTAGCATAAAGCAAACAGTGTCAGCAAGGTTAATTTAATTCTGATTATTAAGTTAATGGTAGACTTTGTCTGATTTTCCTTCCTCTTTCCCCGATTTCCCTGGTGTTTTTTCATTGTGTATGGACCTACATAACGCTCCTTCCCTCGTTGTTGCACGTCATCATAAATTCTGCGTGACACTCCCCCAGAATGATATAGTTAATTACCACCAAGCTATTTTTACAAGCTTCTTTATTACATTGTGGCAAAGTGCATTCCTAATTCATAGAATGTTGCCAAGTGTGAATGAAAGATGCTTTAAGCAAAACAGACAGTGTTAGAAATAGTTTCAGTATAGGCAATATTGGTTTAAGTGAATTCATAAACACTGTTAAATATGTTAATAACTAGTGGTTGTGTGACACTGTTTCCAGCAGTTTGTATGTCAAAAGAAATGTAATGTTCAGTGGTAGAAAATGTTAACCTTCCATTCCAGAGGAAGTGTGTTCCCATGAAAATTCCTAATTATAATTACTGCACAACCTGAGCAAACTGGAACTTGTGTGTGTGTGTTGGGTTATTCTGGCCCTAACTGGTATGGGGGAAGAGGCAAAGGAGAGAACTCGCCCTTGATGAGCCTTGATGTGACCATGGGCATGTCATCATAAGGGTGCTGGGAACTTAGGCTACCAGAAATGGTTCCTCATTTCTTCAGCAGTGGGACTCTAGCAACAGTTCCAAGTTACAGTGTAGAGGCAAAAAAAACAAGTTAAGGTGATTCAGGAACTTACAGTAAGAATGTTGTTACTGCTTTTACTACGTATTCACTTCTGTTGTATGTTTTTTGCAACGATGAAGCCTTTTGCAAGAAAAAAAGTCTGGCTACCCTCAAAATCAAGTTTTTCTAATTTTTGAAAATAATCTGATAAGATTCCAGTGGTATTTGGACATTTTCTGCCTTCAACCATGGGTCCTTCGTTCAGATACTAGTCATTTTGTGGTTAAGGCTACTTGATGCTCATTTCATCATTTTTCCCTGCTGAAGTTTCCTAGTTTATGTCACTATTTCTTACTTGTACTTTTTTTTTTTCTTTTGTTCCAATGTGTGACCTTGAGCTGGAGTTTAACAATCAAACATGAATCTCTTTTTTGACCTCTCCTAGTTTGTGAGGCAGGAGTTCTTCCAAGTTGGTTGGATGATGTGTCTAGCTGCTGCTCTCTGGAAGAGTCTAGTGCTTGTTGCTGCAAATAATTTGGCTTTCAGTAGCCTGGGACACAGACATATTCCTGCCATTCCACTGGTCTTCACACTGCTTATTACTCAGTGGCCAAGGTTCATAACTCAGACACTTGAAATTTGATGTGGTCAGCCTAAGAAGAAAACCATTGTCTGTAAAAACCATTAGAGACTGCAGCAAGTGAAAATAAGGAGTTGTATCTGGTTTCCAGTTTGCTCCAAAATCCAAAGATGCTTCATGAGAACTGTTACCAGAGTGTTTTCAGAACATGGCTAGAAATCTCAAGAAAGGTTTTTGTTTTGCTTTTGCTCAGAAATGAAAAGCTATGTTAAACATGAAAAATAGCAGCAACATAGGGTGAATCAATTGATTTGCCCATTAAAAAGAAAAACACAACACAAAATGCATTTAATTCAAGTTGGTTTTAATCCCAACTTCTGAAATAATTCCCATGAATAATCTTTGTCTCTCTGTCTCACTTTCTCCTGTCCACTTACAGGAAGCTTTTTTTTCTCCCTTAATATCAGAAAACATTGTGCTGCTTTTCTCTACTGTAGCTACCACAATCCTACCTTAACAATGACCATCACAGTCACAGGGCAGATTAACAGGAATAAACAGCTCTAGAGTGCTGGTTGCTTATCTGCCAGGGTAAATCAACACTCTTGTTCACACATCCTTGAGCCAGGAAGATTGATTAAAAGACTCCATGGCCATAAAGCTAGAATGTTAAGTAACTGACTTCCAAGGTTCCCATGTAACAAGAGTCTTGAGAGAATATAAGGCTTCAGAAGAAAACAAACACAGCAAAAGCAAACTCAAAGAAAAGTCTCTGTGATCTGATAACTGTCTGACATCTGTAACACTTCAGTTTCTAGAAAATAAGTATGTCAATTTATAGTCTTCAGTTCTCACTGTAGTTCAAATCTATTTTGTATACAAAAAAAAATATAAATAAGTTTTCTGGATGGAAGGAAAATGACTGTATTTTAATGGTATCTCCCTTCCTGAGTTGCAAAGTTTATCCAAAACTGTATTCACACATTGCTCTTAACTGGAAGTTACCTTTTTTGCCAATTTATTCTTCAGCCTGCAGCATTAGAAATAAAGGCTTGATGCAATGTTGGGTTGTACAGGTTGACAAGAAAAGCAAATGCAAATGGGCCTATTCCTGGCAGGTTAAAAGGTTAACGCTTTTGAGTGAATCCTAATGTGGTATTATTAATTTAGTTTTTTTTTTCACTTCTGATTTGGAGCTGAGTTTCTAGACTGAGCTGTATACCATAAGAATATATTCCTGTATTTGTCATGTTTTTCAGAGGTCTTTTAGTAGTATTTTGATGTCCCTTATCTTTCATGTGTTTCCATTTTTATTTCATAAGTAGCGAATGAAGTAGAACCACAGGAGACCTTTTAAATGGATACAAAATGTTTAATGATCTTTGCCATACTGAATTCAAGTTTTCTTCTGTCATTACTCACATTCACAGTAGGGATTTCCTGCTATTAAGTATCTCAAGCTCTTCAGAAACATGATTATGAATTTTAGGAATACAGCTTTGATTCTCTGAATTTCCATTTTAAAGGAGAGTCCTAGGGATTAACCTACAACAACCACCTGCCCCCAAACTGCTACTTTATACCATACCTAACCGTTTGCCTTTGCTAGTTGACACCAAGTCATTTCCCATGTGACTCTCAGACAAAGGGCCACGGATTGAGTTCAAGCAGTAGACTTCTTTGGAGATTCCCAGCAGACCAAGCAAGACTACAACTTGTACATGTTTTCTGTAAAATAGACTGAGATTTCTTGTTGCTTTGCAGTAAATAACTTTGACAAATAACAAGTCATATAGGTATCTTAACTACGAACTTACGGATTCAGTAACTGTTGTCTCTCTCTCTGTTTTTAGAAGCAGAAACAGAAATCCTATTGGTCCAGGAAAGTATGGATATGGAAAAGTGCCATACATTTTACCTTTACAAACTGATACTGGTCAGCAGCCTCAGAAGCTTCGGAGGCAGCGGCAGTCGTCAAGGAGCCATGTATTTCATCAGAGTCCAAGTCTCATGAACACTTACAGCCAGGCAGCTAGTCCTTCACTTCAACATGGGAATCTTTATCAAGAAGAGAGTGAGCCTCAGGCTGGACATCAGGTCCTGGGACCCTCGCTTTATCAGTCACCTTCATTTCCTGTGTCTCAAAGCCTGTTTCACAGCAGCAACTCAAACCATCATGGACCTGCATCACACCAGTCCATCCAGGGGCAGCCTCAGCCTCCAAGAGCTGCAGCAATTGTGTGCATTGGTGCTTACAAGCAATATAAACTCTGCAACACAAATGTAAGTCCAGTTTTCCTGTTTTTAATTTGTTGGACAGCTGTTGATTTTTCCTAGTATGCTAAATGTTCATAAGTGAAGAAATTAAATTGGACTTTTAAAAATTAATGATTTTTTTCATTAACTTATTTTAAGTGTCTTGCAGAAAGTAGACGCATAATACTATAGTTACCTAATACCATACCGTGAAGTATTTTAAGTAGTCACTCAACCTATCAATATGTGAAATTGTAATTTAATAGACAAAGAAACTGAATCACAGAAAAGCTTAATATTTTTCAGTGTAAGAAATGAAAAAATGGAGTAGGGAACCTTTGAAGTGTGATCTATCCCTACTTCTCAGTCCCATAAGGTTATCCTTTTGGGAGTCCTAGTCATGCTTTAAATAGCATTTAGAACCAGCACCCAGTAGCCTAGATCACTTCAGAATCTTTCCATGATGCTGTGTGTGTTCTGTGACAGATGCTACTTTTACCAGCATTCAAGCTCTACATGCTTTGATATTTGCCTTCCCAGTTTATTGGAGAGAAAAATCTGTTCTGTGTTAATTATTGAATAAAACTGACTTATTACTTCATTCAAAAATGTTTGGCTGGGTGTAGCTCTATGCTCTGGGCAGCCTCCCATTGAATGTGGGAGGTTAGTGAGGGTTTGCTGTTTCTCCCCACAAGCAGTTTTTTTTTCCTGCTG